CCCCCCCCCCCAAACACAGGATACCTACTAGGTTTCCCATCAAAGTAGTACAACATTCCAAAGTAGCCCGGAGGAAGATACTCGGGAACGAGGTTGATTCTGCCGTTGCGAATGTCATCCTTAGGCCGGGTGTCAGGGGCCCATTGTTGGTTCAGAACTAGATATCCCTCTAGAGTCGCGTCGGGTTCCGGCTTGTGGTCCAAGTAGATAGACCATACAAAGCCCACATTCTCTACCGGTTCACCTTGTAGTCGCACATACGGTGGTCTCCAATCGACGATCTTGACCGGCACTCGGAAGTGGCCCGCCAGCGAGAACCACCACACCTCAGACTCGTATGCGGTCGAGTTGGCCGGGTACGGAGGCACGTTGATGCTCTCGCTCATATAGAAGCCGAATACATAATTGTTTTTGTTTTGATGATTGTGTGTGCGCAGGACGAACGCCAGGCGCTTCTTGTCGCCCACACGCTTCAGCATGTCGTCAAATCTACCACCGTGCTCAGATGCCCTGTCAATCAGTCACACATACATACATACAGTGTTGTCCTGCTGTCCTTGGTGAACACACACACTTACCGGTAGAGGGAGGTGAGTCTTGAGTGGTTTCCCAGCAGGCCAATCAAGCCGTCGTACTCCGACGCAGACAACTTCGTGTTGGCGGGAAGATCCTGCTGGCGACGGACCTACACACAACCACCAAAACACATCGAGTAGAGCTGCGCCGATGGCAAGCGCGCGCGTGTGTGTGTCCGCGTGTGGCACTACCTGGGGAGTGTTTGTCGGCTCCCTGAAGGCGTGGCTGCACGTGACGCAGAGGGCGAGCGTGAGGAAGAGGGCGAACAACATGATGTCGCCTTTCCGAGCAATTAGCGAAGGAAAAAGGACAGGGCAACGCAGATCTGGCGCACCAAGGGCAGATGGGTAGATGGGAAACAGTCTTGTCCCTGAGCCATGCGAGCTTTGCGAGCTCAGGGAAGTGAGAAGGACAATGGGTCCGTTCGAGGACCAAGCAACCGTTCGAGAGGATGCAGCAGATGTAGGTTGATAGAGATCTGATCAAGAGAATGCAGTACATCACCGCACCCTTCAGATCCCGAGGGTGAGTCAAGCAATCTATCCATTCCATGCCTCCACGCAGCCTCTCTGTCCCAGTATACGCATCGCATGCATCTGTGTCTTCCTCCCTTGTGTGTGCGTTGGTCGGTCGTGTCAGGCGGGCCCGCACCAACGAAGAGGCGGGTCCTGTTCACAAGATAGACTTGGGCATATGCGCCATGGCCAGCAAGATCGAGTCGGCGCCCATGGAGGAGATACTCAGGAGAATCACAAAGGCGGGCGAATTCAGAATCGTCAAATTCCCCGAAGAGGTACGTACGGCCGTGGGAATACTGCGGAACATCTGGGTGTCTGTCTGCTTGTCTGTGTGTGTGGGGGTGTGTGTGTGTGTATGTGCCGGCCGGCCGACCACCAGGTAATTCTTGAGAAGGATGTGTCAGAATGGCCGAAGGTGCACTGCCTCATCGCATTCTTCTCAACGGGCTTCCCTCTAGACAAGGTCCGTCATCCACACACCACTCACTCACAACTCACGCACCCATGGCTCATCATGTGTGTGTCTGTATGTGTATGTGTCTGTGTGCCTGTTTGTGTGGTTGGATTGGCCAACCACATCATGTCTGTCCATCAGGCGATCGACTACGTGCGCAAGTTCAAGCCGATCACTTTGAATGACCTGGAGCACCAGAAAGTGCTCAGGAGCAGACTCGAGGTCTACAGAGTGCTCGACGTAGGCACCGACGCACACTCACAGCCACTTAATTGCAACACACACGAGGTCAGCAGAGACGTGTGTGCGTCTGTGTGTGTGTATGTTCTCTGCTTCAGGAGTGGAGCATCCCCCATCCCAACTACATCACTGTCGACCACGACGCCGTCAGACGAGGTCGGCACACGCCAGCAGCGCACATCATGGCATTCAGCACTTTGTCTTGCTTGCATTATGGTTGGTCACAGGCGAGAAGTCCTTTGAAGAGTACTACGACTACATCGTATATGAGGGGATCAGGTAGGTAGACCAGCGCCGCGACACACACCTTCTCACACACACCTGAACCATGTTTTCGTGTGTGTGTGAATGCGTGTACCTTCACCAGGTTGAACAAGCCGTTTGTGGAGAAGCCCATTGACGCCGACGACCACAACAACTGGATCTACTACCCAAGGTATCTATCCTTCTGCACGCACTCTCGGGTCGCACGCACAACAACAGTGATATGATATGACCAGGAATACGGGCGGTGGGTGCAAGAAGCTGTTTCGCAAGGTCAAGGACCGGTCAAGCAACTTCGACCCCGAACTGCACCAGGTGAGGCGCGACAGCATGTACATCTACGAGGAGTTCCTCCCCACCTACGGCACTGACGTCAAGGTAGGTTAGGTGACTCTCACCCTACCACACCACACCCCATCACACAAACACGTGTGGGCATCGGTGAGTGTGCCGTGCTGTTTTGTTTGGTGTTGCATGCATGGTATCTGGTTAGGTGTACACCGTGGGGCAGACCTTCGCTCACGCCGAAGCGAGGAAGGTACCATACCATCCTGCTCACTTGGCCGGAAACTCGTCCACTCATATGATCCACACCTCCCTCTTTCTCTCTCTGTGTGTGTGCATGCGTGTGTGTGTGTTTTGTGTGTGTGTGTGTGTGTCATATTCTGCAGGCTCCCTCTCTGGACGGCAGGGTGCAGCGCTCGTCCGATGGCAAGGAGGTGCGCTACCCCGTCATACTCAGCGAAGAGGAGAAACTTATCGCTTACCGAATCGTGGAGGCATTCAGACAGACCGTATGCGGGTGCGCCACTCACAAGACAAGACACACAGCCAGCCAAGCCCACACGACACCGACACTCACATTGTGTTCTATGTGTCGGTGCGGCGCCATGGGTGTCTGCTTGTCGTGTCAGGTTCGACATATTGCGCACCAAGGGCGGCAAGCCTGTGATATGTGACGTCAACGGCTGGTCGTTCGTCAAGGGCAACGTCAAGTACTACAACGACTGCGCACACATCATCAGGGGGGTACGTGGGTGGGGAGGGGAGGCACAGACACCACGGACACACACACCTAGTGGACACAATCTCATCTCCCTGTGTGTGTGTGTGTGTGTGTCTGTTTTGTCTGTCAGCTGCTGCTGTCTCGTGTGTCTGACCGGTACCCCTACATGTCCCGCAATGTCAACATCGACCATGCGGCCAGCGCCGTCAACCTCAAGGACGAGGTGAGGTGTCTTCCTGCCTGGCCTGGCCTGCGGTGCATCCCTATGGGCCTGATGTGTGTGTACCGTTTGTGTGTTATATGTATCAGGATGGTTCGTGGAAGCAGTTTCTCGAGCGCGACAACGAGATATTCGGGAACCCTGAGATGGAAGACGAGGTAAGAGACCTTCTCCCCCGCCAACATAGACACACACGCGGAGCAGGGCTCTTATGTGTGTGTGTCGTGGATGTGTGGTGCAGGAGTTGCGTGTGGTGTGCGTGGTGATGCGTCACGGCGATCGGCAGCCCAAGCAGAAACTCAAATTCGAGACAGACAACGCACTCATACGAAAGTTCTTCGACGGAAGGCACGCACCACCACACACACACACACACACGGAGAGATACGTG